GTGCAAGAATGAATGCAAATGCAGATCTCAGTCCATTAAACCGTGTGGCCATGCATATTGACGCGATACTATGAAACTTACAGAATTTCCTTGAGATCCAGGCTTGCCTGCTTGTCCAGGTTCTCCAGGCTGACCCTAAAAATACAAAAACACAGTGACCCAACAGAATAATCACACGGGTGCTGTTTTGTTTTGCAATTCAATTGGTTCATCAAAAGCCTCCTCACGGGTTCCCCTCGTGGTCCTCTCATGCCCTCTGGCCCCAGTGGTCCGGTTTTACCCTGGGCGAAACAAGTACACCAATTAAAACCCAACACCATCTGCTCGCAGCGGTCAGGTTTACAGTGACCTCTGCACAACACAGATTGCATCCACTCACATCTTTCCCAGGTGGACCCTCGCGTCCAGGAACACCCTGTTTGCCATCTTCTCCCTAATATGACATGACAGCATTGATTAAACAGAACCCATGAAGTTTCTGCATGATTTAAGGAGCATGTATTAGTCCTGTAGTTCCCCATCTCTGAATACTGGATGTACTGTATCGCTGGGTATGAATTTGAATTGGCATTGACTAACCTTTGACCCTGGTGGTCCTGGTTCCCCTCTGTGACCTTTGAAACCCTGGAAAAGACAGAAACAAAGATGTGAACATTTCAGCCTATAGGTGCAGGTAATAAGGTAACATTTTAGATTAGGCAACACATATTCCTTATTAACTAAGAGATTTTCCCCTCAATAAACTCCTAATTTGCTGCTTTTTGATAATAAGTAAGGTAGTTGTTGCAATATCTGGATCTTCTATAATATGGTCATGCGAATAAGGCATTAACAAATGCTTTATAAGTAATAATAAACTGCCAATATGCTAGTAATATACATGCTAATAAGCAATTAGTTAATAGCGATTAATGTTCCCTAATCTTAAGTGTCTCTGATAAAAATATCAAGGTGCATTTCTGTGAGATATAACAGCCCTGGCAGTCTAGTTTTATCCAGAAAATCATCTGTAATCACGTCACTCACAGGCATTCCTCTGAGCCCGTCTCTTCCTGGTAGTCCTGGCTCTCCCTGTTTGCCCTGAAAAAGAAAATTAAAATGATTATGTTTTTACATTGTTTCTGTATATACAGAACTAAGTATTGTTAGGATGTTGGCATGCATGCAGTACATCAGACTCATACCGGCTCTCCTGTTTCTCCTGGTCTTCCATCCTTTCCAGGTTTACCCATCAGGCCCTTCAGCACAGAATATGAAGTATCAGTATAGCTTGATGGAGTTATTAAACTTATTCTTCAATTACACTGACCCAAAAGTTCAGTGTCAGTAAGATTTTGTTTTTTGTTTTTTTTTTTGGAAAGAAATTAAATACATTCATTTAGCTAGGATGCACTAAACTGATCAAAAGTGACAGGAAATACTTTTACATTTTTACCTTTTTTTATTTCAAACAAATGCTGTTGTTTTATCCATCAAACAATCCTGAATTAAAATCATAGATTCCACAAAATTATTAAGCATTGATAATAATATGAATACGAAATGTTTCTAAATCAGCATATTAGAATGATTTCTGAAGGATCATGTGAAACTAAAGACTGGAGCCATGGCTGCTGAAAATTTAGCTTTGCATCGCAAGAATAAATTAAATTTTAAATTATATTCAAATAGAAAACACTTATTTTGAATTGTAATAATATTTCAGTATTTATGTTTTACTGTGTTTTTGATCAAATAAATGCAACCTTGGTGAGCATAAACATTTTAAAATCTTACCAACCCCAATTTGTACAAAAAAAAATGTACAGACATTTAAAAAAAATTATTAAATTACACACCATTAGACCTGGAAGACCAGGTGGTCCCTGAATACCCTGAAGTCCTTCTTTACCCTGGTAAAACACATTCAGTTATCAATAAGGAAAGAAAAATATTTAGTCAAGACTATTTTTTTAAGCATTACATTGCAAATTTTTTTTTAGAAAGTACAATTAAATTCTGCATTTTTTATTTATTTTTATTATTTTTATTTCTTTAATTTCTTACATTTTTCTCCAAAATTTTCCTTTTGAGGCCCCTAGAGATCTCTGGACCCATGCTTTAATAGACAAACAAGCTTTTGCTTTTGTCAAAGTGCAAGAATGAATGCAAATGCAGATCTCAGTCCATTAAACCGTGTGGCCATGCATATTGACGCGATACTATGAAACTTACAGAATTTCCTTGAGATCCAGGCTTGCCTGCTTGTCCAGGTTCTCCAGGCTGACCCTAAAAATACAAAAACACAGTGACCCAACAGAATAATCACACGGGTGCTGTTTTGTTTTGCAATTCAATTGGTTCATCAAAAGCCTCCTCACGGGTTCCCCTCGTGGTCCTCTCATGCCCTCTGGCCCCAGTGGTCCGGTTTTACCCTGGGCGAAACAAGTACACCAATTAAAACCCAACACCATCTGCTCGCAGCGGTCAGGTTTACAGTGACCTCTGCACAACACAGATTGCATCCACTCACATCTTTCCCAGGTGGACCCTCGCGTCCAGGAACACCCTGTTTGCCATCTTCTCCCTAATATGACATGACAGCATTGATTAAACAGAACCCATGAAGTTTCTGCATGATTTAAGGAGCATGTATTAGTCCTGTAGTTCCCCATCTCTGAATACTGGATGTACTGTATCGCTGGGTATGAATTTGAATTGGCATTGACTAACCTTTGACCCTGGTGGTCCTGGTTCCCCTCTGTGACCTTTGAAACCCTGGAAAAGACAGAAACAAAGATGTGAACATTTCAGCCTATAGGTGCAGGTAATAAGGTAACATTTTAGATTAGGCAACACATATTCCTTATTAACTAAGAGATTTTCCCCTCAATAAACTCCTAATTTGCTGCTTTTTGATAATAAGTAAGGTAGTTGTTGCAATATCTGGATCTTCTATAATATGGTCATGCGAATAAGGCATTAACAAATGCTTTATAAGTAATAATAAACTGCCAATATGCTAGTAATATACATGCTAATAAGCAATTAGTTAATAGCGATTAATGTTCCCTAATCTTAAGTGTCTCTGATAAAAATATCAAGGTGCATTTCTGTGAGATATAACAGCCCTGGCAGTCTAGTTTTATCCAGAAAATCATCTGTAATCACGTCACTCACAGGCATTCCTCTGAGCCCGTCTCTTCCTGGTAGTCCTGGCTCTCCCTGTTTGCCCTGAAAAAGAAAATTAAAATGATTATGTTTTTACATTGTTTCTGTATATACAGAACTAAGTATTGTTAGGATGTTGGCATGCATGCAGTACATCAGACTCATACCGGCTCTCCTGTTTCTCCTGGTCTTCCATCCTTTCCAGGTTTACCCATCAGGCCCTTCAGCACAGAATATGAAGTATCAGTATAGCTTGATGGAGTTATTAAACTTATTCTTCAATTACACTGACCCAAAAGTTCAGTGTCAGTAAGATTTTGTTTTTTGTTTTGTTTTTTGGAAAGAAATTAAATACATTCATTTAGCTAGGATGCACTAAACTGATCAAAAGTGACAGGAAATACTTTTACATTTTTACCTTTTTTTATTTCAAACAAATGCTGTTGTTTTATCCATCAAACAATCCTGAATTAAAATCATAGATTCCACAAAATTATTAAGCATTGATAATAATATGAATACGAAATGTTTCTAAATCAGCATATTAGAATGATTTCTGAAGGATCATGTGAAACTAAAGACTGGAGCCATGGCTGCTGAAAATTTAGCTTTGCATCGCAAGAATAAATTAAATTTTAAATTATATTCAAATAGAAAACACTTATTTTGAATTGTAATAATATTTCAGTATTTATGTTTTACTGTGTTTTTGATCAAATAAATGCAACCTTGGTGAGCATAAACATTTTAAAATCTTACCAACCCCAATTTGTACAAAAAAAAATGTACAGACATTTAAAAAAAATTATTAAATTACACACCATTAGACCTGGAAGACCAGGTGGTCCCTGAATACCCTGAAGTCCTTCTTTACCCTGGTAAAACACATTCAGTTATCAATAACGTGGCCGGATTCCAGTCTTGCAATCCATCCAACTAATACACATTCAAATGACAGAACAAAAAAACTTTAGCCTTGCCTTTTCTCCAGGAGCTCCAGGTGGTCCAATAGGTCCAGGGTTTCCATCATTACCCTATTGATACAGCAAGATGTAAGATTTTTCAGTATAGCTATACAGTCTGAATAAGTGGCATTTTAAAATACTCACAGGCTGACCCATAGCTCCTGCGGCCCCTGGATAACCAGGAGGTCCTGGGGGGCCCTGGGAAAATACAAATCAATGAGAGAAAGATGTGGTATAATGATAAATAATCACGGTATGTCAAATTTAATATGTATTATATGTATATTCAGCCTATTTATGATGAAAATGGTAGGCTGACAATACCTTTTCACCTTTATCTCCAGGTGCTCCTGAAGGACCTCTGTCTCCTTTGACCCCCTGCAATGGAACCAAATATAAATGGTTATTATACAAAAAAATTCTCAAGCGGAGAGTATAAAAGTCATGTAATGATGCAATGTTGTCAGATGACATGCATTTGACACATAAATGGCTAGTGAACCTATTATTGTGATCAATGAGACAAGGTTCTTTGAATGTGAACTGGTTTGTAGGTAGACTTGAAGAACATGCATTTGTACTGTAATATGTGATTGTGTCGTCAACATTCTAACCTTGGCTCCATCAGCACCAGGTGGTCCTGCAGGCCCTGTTGGCCCAGGAGGACCCTGCCAAAGCGACCAGTTTATTAAATGTTCATTATTCCATTCATTAAACTTCAGTTAATTTCCTATTCCATTAAGTTTAAAGATGAAAGTGAGAGTTTGATTTCTGAATCATGCTCTCTCACCGCATATCCATCCTGTCCGTTTTTCCCAGGTGGTCCAGTATGACCTTTTTCACCTGGAGGTCCTGGCATACCCGGTTGTCCAGCTGGTCCAGGGGGACAATCTGAACAAATGTTCTGGGAAAGAGAGAAAGGCAAAGTTGGAATATTAGGATGGATGGATGGATGGAAGTTTTTTATTGTTGGATGGATTGAGGGTTGGGTTGATGATGAATGAATGGATGATTGGATGGATGGATGGATGGATGGATGGAGGGTTGGTAGTTTGGATGTAAGGATGGATGGTTAGATGGAGGTTTGAACTGTTGGATCAATGGATGGATGGATGGACAGAGGGAGCATTGATGGATGAATGGAAAGGATGATTGTATGACTGGATGGATGGAGGTTTGGATAGATGGATGGAGAGTTAGATGGATGAATGGATGATTGTGTGATTGGATAAATAGACGTTTGGATGGTTTGATGGATGGTGGATTGGTTGGTTGCATGTATGGATGTATGGATGGATAGAGGGCTGGATGGAGGTATGAATTGATGGATAGACAGATGGATGAATGATGGTGTGATTGGATAGATAGATGTTTGGATGGTTTGATGGATGGTGGATTGGTTGGTTGCATGTATGGATGGACAGAGGGCTGGATGGAGGTATGAATTGATGGATGGACAGATGGATGGATGGATTGATGATGGTGTGATTGGATAGATGGATGGTTTGATGGATGGTGGATTGGTTGGTTGTGTGTATGGATGTATGGATGGATAGAGGGATGGATGGAGGTATGAATAGATGGATGGACAGATGGACGGATGGATGGAGAGTTAGATGGATGAATGGATGTTTTGATGGATGGTGGATTGGTTGGTTGCATGTATGGATGTATGGATGGATAGAGGGCTGGATGGAGGTATGAATTGATGGGTGGACGGATGGATGGATGGACGGACGGATGATTGTATGACTGGATGAATGGAAGAATGGTTGGATGGAGGTTTGGATTGCTGGATGGATGGAGAGTTGGATGGATGAATGCATGATTGTGTGATTAGAAAGCTAGAAGGATGGTTGGAGGGACAAACTGATGGTTGGATGGATAGTGGGTTGGTTGGATGTATGGATAGATTGTTGGATGGATGGATGGAAGGATGGTTGGAGGTTTGGATTGTTAGATGGATGGATAAATGAATGGATGGTTTGATGGATGCAGGGTTGGTTGGTTGGTTGGATGTATGGATGGATGGTTGGATGGAGGTTTGAATTGTTGAATTAATGGATGGAAAGGATGACTGTATGACTGGATGGATGCATGGCTGTTACCTTCAGGATCAGATCAGAAATGTCTGCAGCTTTTCCCTAAAAAAAGTTGGAAAACAAAAATCCATTGAAAAAACCTATTCATAAATCATAACCCACGCATTTATGATCCATCAGCAGCAGGTGAATATTAATAGTGTCAGCTGATTTGATATTTAAATGGCGAACAGAGCGAACACTCACTGGATCTCCAGGGGAGCCCTTCTCTCCAGGTCTTCCTGGTAAACCCTGCAGGTAGACACACACACACACACATTCATAAGCCATGACTGCTGCTGCTGATCCTCACCACAGGAAAACACATTCAAACCTTGTTAGTCACATACTGACACTGAATCCCTGAGACGACTTAACTGTGATCCACAGCAGTGCAGTGAAACTGGTTTAGTTCTGTATCATGACTGGAGATTGAAAAGTAAAGCTCCTCGTCATTGTACAGGCAAAATAAAATTAGTGCTAAGGTGTTTTTTGCATGTTGCTAGAGTGTTCTGTAGTACAAGAACAAATCCCTAACTATTAATAAGCAATATTAATAGCATTGCTTGCAATAGTGAGCATCATTAACTTTAGCAGATCATTAAAATCTGTAAAATCGACCAATAATGGTGACAAATCTTGTTCATTTTATCCAATAAAATGTTCTCTAGAATGAGAATATCAAATCTCCCTGAATTATAACCACAACCTGACTAGCATTAGTATGTAGCTAATTACAGGCTGTCAGTGTGTCTTTGGTTGTGTGCTGTTCAGTTCTGCAAACACATTTGAAAGTACTGATGCAAAACAAAACAACTTGATGTACCCATGTATATGATTATCTTATCCCTTCACTACTGGTGTAGCATATAAATCTTACATTGTGTCCAGCGGGTCCTTGTGGTCCGCTCACTCCTGGAGGTCCTCTCAAACCCTGAATATCAAACATGACATGTCACTTAAGGGTGTTCTGTGAGCGTCTATCTCATTTGAAAGTGATATAAATATGAACAGATTGTTTACCGCTGGTCCTTGTGGCCCTGCAGGTCCAGGAGGCCCCTTAGAAAGACACAGAATATCAATCAGATGTGAGATAAAGAAATGTGCGTCTGCGTTTGTCTTCAAATCGGCACTAAATAGGGTCTGAAATACTGAAATACTGTAAATGGAAAATTCACATAAGCTTTCACATTACAGTATGCATGCTTTTATATGCATGTGCTTGTAAATATGCATGTTTGTCTGTGCATATGCCATCTGTTTGCTTTAGTTTGACCAGTTAAACTGGTATCAATACCTTTTCCATATGCAAATTAAAAAGGTCGGTTTTCGGCCATATGGAAATTCTGGAGTCATTTGAGTTACTAACACTAACATGTGAAAATGACTGCGTTTTGATTGGATATTTCAATGGCAGGATGAGCAGATAAACAGCCATATGACTGAGTTATATATATATGTGTGTGTGTGTGTGTGTGTGTTTCCATACATCGGGTCCAGTGGTTCCCTCTCCCGGTGGTCCTCTATTTCCTGGCATCCCCTGCATTCCCTGTGGACCAGGTAAACCCTGAAACACAAAATAAAAAGGGATCAACATGGAAGAATAAACAGCATCCCCCTTTCAATAAAAAGATAATAGCTCTGTGTATTGCTGTATAATATATTGTTTACTAACAATATTGACTCTAATTTCCATATATATTGTAATGCATATCCAGACAGACAGACAGACAGACAGACAGATAGATAGATAGATAGATAGATAGATAGATAGATAGCCTGGGGTCAGTAAGATTTGTTAAATGTTCATGAAAGAAGTCTCTTATGTCTCTTTTAGGAAGGCTGTAATGTATGGATCAAAAATAAAGTAAAACAGTAATATTGGGAAATACTAATTTAATTTCAAATTGCTGTTTTCTATTTAAATATATTATAAATGTAATGTATTCCTATGATGACAAAGCTGAATTTTCAGAAGCCATTAGTCCAGTATCACACGATCCTTCAGAAATCATTCTAGTATGTTGATGTGGTCCTCAAGAAATATTTCTTATTATTGTCAACATTGAAAAAAATTGTGCTGCTTAATATTTTTGTGGAAACTGTGACACTTTTTTTTTTTTTTTTTTTTTTTTTTGGTTTAAG